TTTTTAAATGGCATTATAGTTTTTTTTGTGCGGATTTATTTTCTGAATTCAACGATGTATATGAATTTGACTTTTGTAAAGCATTTATTACAGAAAAGACGACAAAATGTTAGTCGATGCCGCATTCGGCGCCCGGCCACATATTCATGACAAATGTATTTTAACTAATCATTTGTGCCACGGAAAACAAAAAAAAAATAGCAAAGCAAATAGGTAAAACTAGGAAGAGAATTTTATAGTCAACAGAAAAGAATCAATACAATGAATATCAATTAAAAGAAAAACAATTTAATTAAAAACATTAACTATTATAGAAAGTTCAACACGAAATAACATTACATAACAAAACACATTAAACGAAGAACAACAAACACAAAACAACTAAAGAAACAAATTGTAGTCGTCGTTTTTTATCGTTTTCTTCTAATGCTTGTACTTTTTGAAGAATGTATGTCATGAATTTGTGCGTTTTCAATATTGCATGTACAGTTCTCTTTGATGTTCTAATATTATTAGAAATTTCCCGAATGAAAGTTCTTGGGTTTTCTTCAACGTTAAGAACATTGAGTTCTATGTTTTCATTAAATTGGTATTCTTCTCGCTTTGATTTCTTAAAAGCATCATATAATAGTTCCTCAGATTTTCTTCAAATCTTTCAAATTTACGTGGTTCTGAAAACTTTGAGGAAATAGTTCTCTGTAAAGGCGGACTGCTGCACCACGATTTTTATTACAGCGAAAGTATAACTGAATTATGCCCGTCAATTGACTATTACTCATATTTTGCTTTTTCAATAAACAACCTGCTGTAAATGACACAGAAAGATTATATTGCGTAGAAAACTGGGACGCAAACGCTAAATGACATTACTTGCATTGTTGTATTATTTTTTGTTTTCCAAGCATACATGATTAGTCAAAATATGTTTGTCGTCAATTAAGCGACCGTGAGCTAATAATATGGTATTGACTAATATTTCAATGCTTTTTCTGTAATACATGTTTCACAAAAGTATATGTACATCGTCGAGTTGACTTAGTTGACTATCGCTTTTCAAAAAAATAATAATAAATACGCTCCAATAGGCTCACTATAGTATATTTAGAGCCATTTCATATAATTTTTTTTTAAATCAGGAGTATAAATGACGGAGTTATGGCTATAATAGGACTAATAATCCCGAAACACAATTTAAAAATAATTATTTAATAATTCAAGAAATGCAATACAAATACAAAAATAATAAACTACTCTGCTTTTTTACGTTCTCATTTAACGTCCTGAATTAAATTTTAATTACATGTTTGAAGAAAAACGATACAAAAGCTATTTGTTTTCTGTTTATGGACCTACAACTCGAAAACAAATGAAGGTTTTAAATTTCAGACTTGGGAGTTAATTTTCATTTTGTCTTAAAATTCAAGTTCGACAATGTGTCACTGGTTTTACCTTATTTCTAATCATTTGTGAGATAATTTGGAATTAAACAGAAAATAGGACGGTTTATAACAGTTATGCTCCATAAACACAAATGTTTAGATTTATGTTCTTGACCCTCAATGACTTGGGTATTTCCAAAGATCGTTCAAATAAATGAAGGATGCATACAGCAGATGGGTTTTAAGCTTTCAGATGGTATAGTTAGTTGAAAGATTCCTATAGAAGCTTTCCTACGCCTCCAGCGACATAACTGAACCTGGCTGTAAAGTCTTTGGAATTTCTTTGTGGTCAAGCCAAATTAGCCAAATTAACATACACTTTGTCATTTCAAGGCTTAATTTTTAAAGTAATAATGTCGATTCGCTAATCAAACAACCGCAGTTAATTCAGAAAGATTAGAAATAAATATTCGTAAAGTGTGATACTAAATTAAAATACCTGCTAAGCAAAACCAGTTCAATTTTTAAAGAATAGGAATAAAATCGGATAGATATAAATAGATTCTGATTATTTTCTAACATTTATTATATTCTACCGTTTCTTGAGACTTATTTTCGTTTTGTTTCAGACTATGGTAGCGGAGTGTACCTGAGAAGATTACGTAGTGTCTCGAAGCTTCATTGAAGGAATGTGTTATATTAATTAGTATAGACTGTACTTATTGTAGCAATTAAAGATTATGTAAATATCATAGATAACTAAAATATTAAAATTGTTTCTATGGTAGGTTGAAAGACTGTTAGTTACAAAATTGAAAATAAAAACTGAATACATAAATAAAGTTTTTTGTTTTATTTTCCCACCGATTAATCTGGAACACTGGACTGAATTAGGTTTGTGTCGCTAAAATATTAATTAAATAACATAACATAATTTCCGAAGCGATGAGAATAAAGTAAAGAAATAATAATATTAACTAAAATTCCAACATATTTTCCGAAACAATCAGAATAAGGTCAGAATAAAAGAATAAATCAGAATAATAATAGGATTAGCTAAAATTCCAAAATAAAATTTGTTTGACTTTAATAAGAGTAGTTTCATATGTATAGACATTAGAAATAGATATTTATTAAAACTATAGTATTTATTATTAATCCTTCATATTTGAGAAAATATTTGAAATATTATTAACGACACCTAATAATAGAGACCAAAAAAGAAAAGTATAAAGCATTAATGAAAATGAATGTACCTAGGTATCGAGATTATGAACACTATAGTTATGAACATAACAATCACTAGGTACATAATCTTCACCAAATTAAATTTTAACTGTTTTCTCATACCTTAAGACTTTTTACTCTTTATTAAAGGTATTAAGTTAATTCAAACAAATCCTATCAAATTAAGTCAAACAACATTCTTCGATACCAGAAATCTAGGTGCGCAAAATACATCCGCCTTCACAGACATGATTGCTAAATCCAGGTACTGCAGGAAACACTACTCTATGTGCATGTTCCAACTGTTATTGGAGTACACCACAATACTCATTAAAGAGTTAGTAAAAAATAATTATCTAAAATAAACTTATATGTTTAAATAAATAATAAAAAAACATGCTTACATTCTCAATATATGTTCACATTCTCAAATATCACAGGTCAACATTTAGTTTGAAAAAAAACACCGGATTCTACCTAGATACCCAGGGGTTTTTGGAGTCGCTGATTTCGATGCCGAGAAAATTCATACATAGATTTTTTGGGTCGCTGAGTCTGAATCCGATGTCGATTGACCTCTATCACCTCATTTTCAAGGTCGTTTGAAGGTTAAAGTAAGAATAGGAAGTGAAAAAAATTGGAAGAAATTTTTACGAATGCTCACCTCCCAGTTGATGTCTGCCTTTTTACCTGCACACAGGTCAAATATTCTTAACTAAGGCTTCTTCTAATATCTGTTTTTATTAAATGTTACCATTAGATCTGAAGTTTTTCAATTGGGAAACATAATTTAGATTAAGTTGTTACGTAAAGTTCATTGTCCCCCACTTGAGTTATGTTGATTTGTTGATAATTTATTTTGTATCTGAAATGTTATTAATATTATAGACTACAAGCCCATCGGAAATTTCCAAGAGGTCATTTGACCCAGCATGAATTACTTATAAATCAATACTACCACATATAACAATAACTTTAGAAACTATGCCGTCAATTCTTGTTGGTACAGGTGAGTACACAGGTAGACTAAACCTGTTCACAAGGCGGGGGGTTTCGGTAAAACATTTTTGTACGGCATTTCTAAAGTTTATAGGTTATACAAAAAAAAATGAACCTCAACCTAATGCCGTACAAAAATAGCAATATCGGAAGCCAGGAAAATTTTTGATTTTCCGAAAATTTTGGCCCGAGTTTTGGTAATTTATTACAGTACGGCATTTATACTGCAAGTTTCGGATCGATACATAGATAAATTTTTAATCGGCGCCGTACGTACTTGCTGATACAGGGATTAGGAATACAGGGTACAACCCTGTATTTGTAAGTAGCGTATGTGGGGGTGATTTGAAATCAAATTCACTAATTTTAATTCTATTTTATAAAATAATGACATTTTTGGCCATATGCCGTACATTTTAGGTTTTAAGGTCTGAGGAACAAAACTTTTTATTTTTAAGAATTCAAATTAATGTGTTTTAATTGGCTAATAAATTAACTGTAATTCTAGAAAAATTACACTACGTTTGAGTTTGTTGATTGGTATTTGGTGATTAATATTTCATAATTTTTCCCAGGTACTTTTTTTTATAGAATTTTGTTTTGCTAGCCTGTTATCCTAAATCTATTCTTTATAGGAACATTATTTAAAAATTGTATTAGTGTTTCCAGAAACTTAACAAAAAATCAAAATCAATTTGGTACATTTTATTACTAATCAATATTATAGATAGAGATATGTTTGTTCTCTCTGAACCAGTACAGGTTCAATATTTAGAGCCTTTTTCTTCAACTCTCATGTCAATTCAATTGTCAACTAAATCTATGTATGTCAGTTTCTTGTGTATATGTTTTTGTGAGATAGATAGAAACTGTCAAATTTTATAAGGAGGTGCAAAAAACTAGTCTTAGAATATCTGTTACCTAAAAGGAAAATTTTGAGTTAAACGTGAATGGAGTGAATTACACTACACTGATTATAAAAATATATTTATTTCTTAAGGTTTATGTACAAAATTATATAAAATCTATAAACAAATAGGTATTTAAATATTAATAATTAATATGATTATTATAGTATCACAAAGGTAAATAAATGTGTACGTATTATTATAGCTTTTAAATTTCTATTTGCGCTATTACGTTCCATTTATTTTATTTTAGTTTTTTCTAAATCCTAGAAGTTGAACAGGAAGTCTGATATGCATAGTTTATATACAGAGAGTCTAAACAAATATAGGGAATTCTTTAGTTGAACAAGAAAATTAAAATTTTAATTGCAATAAATTATTCTAAAAATTTATCAACTACGAGATTCTGATAGATTTGAGATTTCTTTATTAAGACGTTTTAAATTCCTAATTTATAATTTTTATTTGTCAATTCATTTAATTGTCGTTTTATAGTAGACACATTATAAACAAAGAATGAATGTTACTGATGACCAGTCTCAAGGAATATTTTTGAATTTTTGTTGGTAAAAAGATACGGAGAGTTGAATTTAGGACATTCAAAATGTTCTAAAATAAAATTTAACTTCCTTGTGGTTTTCCTGCCAACGGGTTGTAGAATATTGTTCCAAAGCAAATTGGCCCCTGAAATATTAAAATTAACTATTATTTCAACAGAAAATTAATTTTTTAAAATTGATAAGATACATCAATTTTATTTCATTGGTACAGTGTTATAATTTCCTTACTAACCGCAGAAAAAGAACTGAATATTCCATAAGTTCCTGTAATAGATGCCATTATAATGTGGCAGATCATTTGAATCAAAAACAAAAGGTTTATTCAAATGATCTGCTACATGATAGGGAAATATTTAAAGAGCGTATACGAGAAGGAATAAATGAATTAAATGGGCCTCAAACTATTCGCAAAGTGTGCGAAAAATGTATTAAGTTAGCGGAAAAATGTGTTGAGGTGGGAGTTAGATTAAAAGTCAAAATAGAAATTTTGATTTTAAAATTTGTATTAAGGCATCATTTGAGGTTATAAACAGATTTGTTTCGTAAAAATGTTGTGTAAAATAATAAATAATGATACTTCTCTCTTGTGTATTTTCGTGTTTTTTTAATTTATGAGCACCCTGTATATCTAATCGAAGTTATTTGTATGATAGTCTCATTTTTTCGAGAGGCAGAACTTTTTATAGTGTGACATTTTTCGATAAAGTCAGAAACAAAAGAGTTTCTCCTCTTGTCGACTCCATCCGTGAACAAACTTTATATTAAAAATATAATAATACATGAAGAAAGAACTCCGAAATTTTGAGTTGAATATTGTTAACTAAAAATTTATTTTAGTAAAATTAATTTTTTTGTGATCTAAAGTTTAATATCTATTTCGTCATAAAAACACAAAAATAATCAATCTATAGAAAGCAAAAATACCTTCTGATAATATTTAGAATTAGAATAAAACAAAAATATTTTCATCAATTGGAAATTGCAGTGAAAATGTTACTGGTTAAATCCAGAAAACTACACTTATGTTAAATAAAAGCCATTCTACTAACCATTCACACATAATTAAATCTATATTTATTGAAGTAAATACAAAATTTAATGACATAATTAGTAAATTATCTACTGGAATTTATAGTTACAACAAAAGATAATATTTCTCAGGAAAAGTAATTATAAATACTACCGTAATTTACATTTTGCACATATCGATCACGTGAATTCTAAATTGAACGTATTGTTCGAATTATCAAATTAAGTAAGCAAAGTACAAAGAAATAAAACAGACTGTCATTTAAAAATATTGTTGTTTGATTAGACGCAGAATGTGCTCAAATTCAAATTAAATTACGTACAATGCCGCAAAGTCACTTCTGCACCTACAAAAGTATTAGCATACTAAATTTTATTCGTAAACACTAGGCATTGCAAAGTTATTTAGAATAAACTATTTTTTTTTACCAACTTTAACATTTTAAATGAAGCAACGTTGAATAGAGACAAGTTTGCTAAAATAGTTTATTTTACTCCCAAAAATCAATATATGTAGTTCCATGTACCTACCTACATGATACTACGCTATAGTACTATCATTGTGTCTGTTCAACTTTAATACTGATTACAACACTTCAAGGGGGATAGGAACCGTCTTTCTTGAGACGAGCTGTAGGAACAATTTAGGCCGCTCGTCCTTTAGAAGCGTTTTCGTCCGTTTTATTAATATCGATGTTAAGCTTTTTATCCGAGTTACTTGAAATAATCAGAGATAAATCGTCGGCATACATGGTAAAAGCTTTGTTACCTATTACATTTTCGATTGAATTGATATATAAAATAAAAAGCACAGGTCCCAGAATAGAGCCCTGCGGTACTCTCACTTCAATTAAGCTATAGTCAGAATTGATCTCATTCAGTATGGGATTTAATGTGTTGTGTAGACATATTGTTTCCGAAATTTTAAAAAACACAGTAACCAGTTCAACGGAACACCTCTTATGCCATAATCATAAAGTTTGGTAAGTAAATTATCGTGATTAACGCAGTCAAATGCTCTACTAAGATCACAGAAAATCCCGACAGGGCACTCGCCTGTATCAATACATCTAACTTCTTCGTAAAAAGAGTGTGTAGCCGTTATAGTGGACCGCCCTGAACGAAATCCGTGTTGGTTGTTAGTTAAAATTCTTGTTTTGTTTAAGAAATTTGTCAAACGTTCTAAATAAGTATATTAAAAAATCTTTGAAAAGCTGAGAGGAAGAGTAACTGGTCTATAGTTTTCTAATGATAAACGATCACTTTTTTTTAAATAGGTAGTACTTTTCCCACCTTTAAAGTGTCGGGAAAGATACCGGTTTGAAAGGATAGATTTACTAGATAGGCTGCATTATCACTTTTAAAACACGTTTTATTAAAAACATGGGAACGTCGTCTGATCCTGCGGATTTCTTATTTTTTAATTTATTTCTTAATAAATTTAATAGTTCACTTTCGGAGAAACAAAGTTTGATTTACTATTTTGTTAACACACACTCTATTATCAACGTTAACAGCAGATATATTCTCAACAATATTTTTTGGTGTATTAATAAAAAAACTATTATAAGTTGAAGCAACCTCAACAGGATCTTCAATTGTTACTCCATTATATTTTATTGATACTCCTACCTCTCTTTTTGTTGGGAATTTCATTTACTATATTTCAAGCTGCCTTTGCTGCATGATCCGAATTATTAATTTTATTTTGGTAATATATTCTTTTTGTGTCTCTTATTGTAGATAATATGTGCTTATTTTTAGCTATTTTATAGACAGGAACTAAATCGGCGTAATTTGTTTTTAAATGAAAGAGTTTTAAGACGAGAGCTAGATCTTCTGACTTCATCATTAATAATCTGGATGATTATCTTTTGGGAAATTAGTTATCTTATCCGATTTCTGACGAATCCAATTCGGACGAAAACGCATCCAAAGGACTACCGGCCTTTACTCCAAGGCCTCGGTATATTTATATACACGATATTTTACTTTATATTTCGGAATTTATTTATATTTTAGAACCGATAAAAACTATGAAAAATAATTTTTATTAAACTAGATTCCGGAAAGGTTGCGTTTTCGAGATATAAAATATCAATTTTTTAAAATATATTTTTTATATCTCTCGAACGAATTGTGGAATCATCATTATATTTAGACTTTCTGCTAATCGTGGCTATCAATTGATGTTAGATAAATAATGGCACTTAGAAGTACACTGAGTACCACTTTTTAAGGTATCTTTAAGCTAAAATTTCCATAATTTCTATCCGACAAACTTTAAAGTTAGATGTTTGCCCTACTTTTACTTACTTTAAGTAGTTTTTTAATATATTAACATTTAGTGTTAACTCTATTAAATTATTACTCACTGAAGAATAAAATACAGAATATATTTTTATTTAGTCAGCAACAACAGAATAAACGTAACAAATTGAAGAAGAAATTAATTATATTATAATTGCGTAAAATGGAGCACACCTGCTGCAATACATTTTTGGCACCGGCGAACCAATGAGTTGTTCTAATTAACAATATGTTTTAGCTTGTCCCAAAAAAATCCAAAGGATTAATATCGCCTGACATTCGAGGCCACGAAGCTGAGACTTCGCCCGAATACACCGGATGTTTTGGTCGTAATGTGCTGGAGCACCATCTATTTAAATCCAGCTATTTGGGCATACATTCAGGGATAAATCTTCAAGGATTTCGTAAAGATCATTCTCCAAAAAATCGTGAAACAGGATTGAATTTAATCGCGACATCAGAAATTGTGATCCACACAGATTAACATCAAAATTTTCCGCCCAAACATTTATAGTAAATTGATATTGAAATTTAACTGGTCTTACGCACTTCAGATTTTCCTGCGCTCGCACCCGTAAATTATGGAAATTTACCGCACTAGCTCTAGTAAAGCAAACTTTATCGGTCCGTAATACTTTATGCATAAAATAGATATTCGTTTTTTAGTTCGCAACACTCGTCTACAAAAATTCAAAAGTTTCTCTCTAGGCACTAATTCTTGTACAGGCTGGTCCATTTTAGATGGGATTTCAGGGTATCTCAGAAACTACTAAAGATATGATAAATCTGACACCACGTTCTCGAGCTCGATTTTCATGGCAAACTCGACTGTCAAGTCAGAAATTTGCTATCTTTATTTGTTTCTGAGTTACAGGGCGTTTCTCGTTATTGTGACACTTTTGAACATGTCTGTATCTCAGCTGTTAAATAAGTTAGAGTTAAAGTGAAAACTGCTCAAGGCTGACGTAGAATTGAATGCCGGTATTAGATTTTTAGTAGGTCTTAAGATTTCGGAGTTATGACCCAAAGTTATAATTTTTTAAATGGAAATTGTAGCTGGTTATGACCTAAAAAAATGGAGATTTTATTTTGCTTTTCAGCAATATACCACATGCTATAAATATTTTTCCAAACACAGAAGATACGGGGTGTTTTATATATAAATTCGATCCTTTTTTACATTTTAATATGGCTGGCTATGAAAATACATACACAACTATAATTCTTACTTTTACAAAACTCATATCTGTAAAAATATGACGTTTATTTAAAATATACATTACAGATAAGAAAAGACAGGGTTTTCAAATTTTTATTCCACTTCAACTGAAGTTACAATATTAAACGTAAATTAAACAATAGTAAGTACCTACATCAATAAAAACTTTCAAAAATGATAGCTAAATGTTCAAATTGCCGTCCCTCAACTGTCACACATTTCACGCATCTTCTGGCAACGCTTCGGGTAGCATTCATTAAATGTATAGGTATTTGAAATATTATTAAAAGGAATTTTAAATATAATGTCTTTTAGAAAACCTCAAAGGAAAAAGTCCAACGGACTCAAATCAGGTACCCTAGCTGGCCATCTGAACGGTCCGTTTGTTCCTATCCACCTATGTCCTAAAATTTCGTTAGTATTATATTATCACACAAGTATATGTTGTGGAAAAAAAAATGTAACATATATATAAAACTCCCCGTATCTCCCGTCTCTACTTTTTTAGGCCATGGTCAGCTACGATTTCCATTAAAAAAATATAACTTTGGGTCATAACTCCGAAATCTTAAGATCTACTAAAAATCTAATACTGGCATTCAATTCTACGCCAAAGATTTAGTCTTGAGCAGTGTTTACTTTAACTCTAACTTATTTAACAGCTGAGATACAGATATGTTAAAAAGTGTCACGATAACGAGAAACGCCCTGTAACTGAGAAACAAATGAAGATAGCAAATTTCCGATCTGATAGTCGAGTTTGTCATGAAAATCGAGCTCGAGAACGTGGTGTCAGATTTATCATATCTTTAGTAGTTTCTGAAATACCCTGAATTACCATCGAAAATGGACCAGCCTGTACAGATTGCAAATGGAAAGTTTTTTGTTGTCTCGTTTGGGTACCCTAAAAATTTTCATAGGCAATACGCAAAGTCGATAAACAACTTATGTATCAAGTACTCGAATTCATATTGACGTCATAGACAAAGAAGTATTTGTTCATTTATTTTCTGTCTATTTGCGATGTTGTTCACCTTCGTTGCGTAAAACAAATTGGGAAAATCGCCGATGAAGATCAACAAAAACTTGGGTATTTGGGAATCCTTCGGTTTGGAAACCTTCTACGGTATTCCGCAACCACAAAGTATGAATTTCCGCTACAAAATCCATAAATGTAGTGAATATCTGCATATTTAAATTTTTGTTAGCAGTTTTCAAAATATGACAGTTATTCTATTTTTTTATAAAATATTAAAAGATAAAAAGTGAAAGTATATATATAGGATATACTGTGTATATGCGGAATATTGTACAAAAGACGTCAGTACAAGGCTAAAGGAACATAAAGTGTCACATAATAACAACATAGGAAAAGTCAGCCTCTGCAGCTCACATGCAATAAACCTAACTAATAACAGAATTTTGGTGTGAGAGAGAAGATTTTGGCTAATAGTCTACAGGAAAGCAGTAGGTATCCAGAAGAATCGGGATAATTTCAACATAGGCGAAAGGTTAGTCTGTCTGGAATTTGAAAACGGCTAGAACGACAGGGAGAATGACTACTAGCTATGAACTTAACTCGACTAACCAAAGGAGCAGTATATAGGTACAGTAAATATAAATACCAGACAGAGCTCTTAATCTCTAGTTTCATAGTCTCATAGTTTCTTCTGAAGAAGAGAGCGATATGTCTGTCGAAACGTCATACCGACGACGTGGCAACCAGCTTGGAAATTGTTCAACCATTAACAACTGCCACGAAAGACTGTAAAGCTTTCTATGATTGTTGTAACCTAGTGATAAATTTAAAAGCTGAATATTTTCAATTTTGCTTACCTAATGCATGGCCTTTCTGAGAAAAATGAAAACAATCGTGTGTAATGTACGATATATCAATAACTTCGTCGAATTTGCGTGCGGGGTCATCCGGAGCATTAAATAACTTCATAAAAGGTTGGAGCACAACGGTAAAATCGTCCTTCTGGTCATACCTTCCACTGAGAATCTAAAAAGCAAATTTATTACTTTCGCTATATTTTGGACAATCATTTACAAAAGTTTTACATCATCTTTAGTTTTAATATTTGTTTTAAGAGATATTCATATTTCTATTTTTATAAAATGCACTTATGGGAAAAATTAAAAAAAACAAAAAAATTTTTCGTGAATTTTGTGATTTTCGGAAGGTTGTATTTCAGTGAAAAATCGAGATAAAAAAGCATTTTGAAGCTTTATGTCTCTAGTTTCCAGATAAGAAATACATCGAGAAACAAATTTTCCAAATTTTTTTATTAGGACTCTCCATGGACTATCGATATCTCGGCAACCAATAGTCGCACGGGAATCATTCAAAAATCAAATTGAAGCTGAATAAATAAGCTAACTCACGTTTGAATTTATTGAGATTGAAACAATTTTCCTGAGTCCATGGGCAACCCTAAAAGAAAAAAAAAATGGAAACTTTTTTCTCGAAGTATTTCTTCTGATTGTTTGATAACCATGGCTTTAAATATGTTGAAACTAGAGACTTAAGTTTCAAAATTTTTTTATCTCGATACGACCATTTTTCATTGAGTAGAGCCTTCCGAAAATCACTACATAATTAATGAAAATTTTTTGGTCCCTAAATTTTTTCCACTAGTGTAGTTTAAATTAAATTTATTTCGAACTTATAACTAAAATCAACTGATTTGGGCACCGAAAAAAGTCTCTATTACGAAATTTTATAAATTCACAACGGAGAAGTGAATAACAAAAAAATAATATCAGGGATTATGGATATCCTACCAATTAATGCAAGAATTTTACTGATTAACCTATTACATGTCCGGACACAAGTAATGTTAAGTCGAATATAACATGTAGTTACTTTACATATACTCTTGTTTGCGCCCGATTTCAGGCGAATAAATTATTGTATTCAATAGACTGTAGTTTTTTTGTTCAAATATACATAAAGACATTCGGGCTTAATTCGTACTTTGTGTTAGATGTATTTTTTAACATACATGTGATTTGTTGTTGATCAAATGAAGAATGAAAATCTATAGATTTAAATGAACTATAAAAAATCGGTCAACATTGTAGGTTCTAAAAAATAAGCAACATTTTACAAAAAAACACTAAAATGGCGCCTAGCGAAAAATCGCATATTACTACAAATTAATAATAACAAAAGAAATCTTCAATAATTTTAAAATATTATATGGTTTATCATTATCCATTTTTAGTAGTATCTATAATTTTGATAAAAAAACCGAGCAAAGTTTAGTGGAATAATTAAGATATTGTTATATATGCACATTATATTATTGTATATTATATTTATTGTAATTTAATTTATTTTTGATGATTAAAACACAAAAATTATCAATGTGGAAAGAAGTCAGCATTTGTGACGTATTTAATACGCCTATGCACATAATTTTAAAATTTCGGCATACTCGGATTTCTGTCTGCTGTTTTCTTTCCTTTCGTTAGGTTTAGGGCTCCTGATACATTTCTTTTTATTAGTTTACGGTTGGCATTAATTGTATTAAAATAAAAACTTTTTGGTTAAAAATGGCTCTAGCTCCACAAGGAGGCATTTTAGAGAAAAAGTGCAGGAATAAAAATTTTTTACTTTGACCCTATTAACACGTCTGTGTTAATGTCAAAATCTTAACTATTTTAATAAAACAAGATTTCCACTGATTTTTAACTATTTTTTTAAAGTTAGGGAAAAATTCTGACCTGGTGGAACATTTATGATGTCTCCATCGTCTTCAGCGGGTCAAAATACAGGAGGTAATTTTTTAATTATTATTAAGTATATGAAAAAAGAAAATTGTAGAATCAGTAATTGATTATTTTTTTACTTTCAGGCATTTTCAGAATATCCTTGATTTTTTAGCAGAAACTTCATAAATTTAAAATCTTAGGCACATAGGTGTACAAAATATTTTGCGATCTAAATATAGGAAACTTGAGACTTGTGGGTTTTAAGAAATACTGACTGGTGCTACATCGATATATTTTTAATAAAAAGGAATATCAAAAATATAACATTTTTCTTTCTATTTTTACACTTGTAAACATTTTAATTAAAAATATTAAAAAAAAAACTTTCCCTAAATGGAGGGCACTCCTAGTAGGGGGTTATTTTTGTTAAACAACTCTTGCTAATAAAACTCTCACTCTGAAAAAATAGGCAAACAAAAATACGTAATTTTTCACAGGTGGCAAAATACTCAAATAAATAAGAAGAGAAAAAACTAAAACTAAGTCACAAATAAAGAAATTTAAACAATAGTCTTGATAATGTCCAATGTTGTAAACTAAATAGTATCAGCAAATGCAATACAAGAGCAGAGAGATAATTGAAAAGTAATAGATTTAAAATTAATTACAAATTCGTTTCTATCTTATTTTATTACGAGGAGACATTAATTTATTTACATATTGCATTATTTGCATTGCAGGTATTGAATTTTCATTTCCTATAGTTTATTTTAACAAAATATAGAATAACATTATTTTGTCCATTCTTATTTAAATTTTATATAATCAATTTTTAAAATATATTTGTCTTGTAATACAGCTATATAAAAAGTACTTAATATTATTTAAATAATTTTATATTTATAACAAAAATATTGTTAAACAATGATAAGTACCTATCCCAATGTAAATCAGGAGCGGTTATGTTTACAATATAGGTATATGTTTTCATAACTGTTAAATATTTTATGGTCACGTATTAGGGAAACGGTAAATCCAGGCTTTAGTCACTTTATTTGACTATATTCTAGACAAACTGGTAGATATGTTAAAGTCACAAAGAAAAAGTGACACCAATAATTTTTTTCATGTCGCTAATATTTTTTAAGTCTTTCAAGATGTGTTAATAAAAATATTCCTGAAACCGTTATAATATTTTTGTATCAAATCTTTCTTTTTTAAATGTGTATTTCAGATTAAGGGTGTATCAGCGACGAAAAATGTAAGAATTTCATCTAATTTAAAAGCTACACTAAACGGCTAATTTTGTCGAACTCAAGCAAGAGTATATTTTAATTAGCAAATCGTTTGGGGAAGTTGTGATGAGCATACAACAGTAATCATAAAACTTCTACGAATTTTCATTGTTGCTAGTCTTTAAGAATTGAATCAAATAATTTAGAAAAGGTAAATAGGTTGAGAAGGGTTACGCCAGATGAAGATATACATAGGCAGTATAAAATCCGAAAAAAAACATATTAACAAAATATTCCTATATAAAAAAATAATCGACCAATGTGAGAATGAAATAAAAGCACTGTGGAATATATTTAATAAATATTTGAAAAATTCAAAAAAGGAACAGGAAACGTTAATAACCATAGATTTGACAAACTTGAAATAATCTCCAATATTTTTGCAGAGAGCTTTACAATTCATCTTTAGCCGTTATTTCTCTATTCGAAAATGGCTATATTAATATAATTAGCACAACTTTAACAGTTTAAGTTTTCGTTTTTATAGATTTGCCTTAAAAACTTGTACATCATCAATGGCATATCATTTTTTTCTCATTAAATACACTATAACCTGCCCTAACTACGCTTATGGCTACATATACAATTATTTTAATTATCAGAAACGAAGGAACGACTGCAGTTTTGCCCATAATTAATTTCATGATTAGCCCAAATTTCTTCTATATACATCAAAAGTTTTAAGAGATATGTGGATAAATATATTTTTTTATTAATTTCGTCACACTGTATTTCGAAGACGTAACGCTCTACGAGGATGTTTACATGAATTTTCTCTATATCGGCTGTTAAAGTTTGCAGGTATAGAAAAACTTGACTCACTTCGAATATATTTGAAAGACGTCTCATAAATTTGTCAGCTACACAATTTTTAATTACCTACATGCTTAAACTGACTGATTGAATATGCTACAATCAAATAATGACCTGTGATAAATGTATCTAGTGATTATTTATTTAATAATTTACAAGCCTTGCATACTATGGTCCTTAATAGCAACGACAACCTCTGCATATAGGACAAGGACCATCATACTAAATTTATATATCTGATTACCTGTATTAGTATGTCTTTGTATAGTTCTTGACAGAGAACACATTTATAAATCACTTCGTGAATGTTGACAATACCATATTTTAAACGTGATAATAATTACTTACGAAGGGCATCCAGAGTCCGCAAACAAATGAAGCTCACGTCAAGATAACTCTTCTTGCTGCAGTGGCGGCCCGTCAGGTGACGCAAGTGACGCACCGCTTCGCCTATTTCCTTTTGGTTGTGCAATTTAAAATTATTTTTAATTTTATATAAATTTTATTATTTAGGTATAATTCTATATTGAAAATGTATCTTTCTTTGTTTTATACTCAGACATTAATAGAATAGTTGCACGGTGAACACCTTCTAAAAAACCATTGTCTTCGTTGAGCGCGAACATCAACCTTGTACCATAGACAATATAGCTTATGGCTATAGCTATTTTGTCTATGCTCGTACCATACAACGTATAGTATAAGCAAGTGACGCGATCGAAATCAGTTTGTATTTCGCTTTACTTCGTAACGTTGTTTACGGCGATTGTCATGGCAACGAGGCGGCCAATACCTGAGTAAACTACAACGTGGGGGACCGAGTGAGGCAGAAATTGAAGCAGCATTGTCATCGCCCAATCGGCAATCGCCCATCGCCTGCCTATACGATACGTCGCCGAGTGCACGATTTGTTAATATTTGTTTTGTATCAATAATTATTGTAGAAATGTTTCCTATGTATGATCCAGTATATATTTTATTGGAAACGCCATTTTCCAGATGGAAAGGATTTTTTAAATTGCGAGACATGTGCCTTCTCTCGATGTGGAAAAAAGGGGGAAAGTCAAAAAACAAAGTGTACGTTCGGAAGTTTCGGAATGGATATTTGGAGTATAAGTGGTTGAGTAGAAGTGTTTATTTAAAAAAACCTTTCTGTATGCCGTGTTTAATTGTGGGT